CAGAAATATTTTGTACACAGAATCCCCTCGCCCATTGCGAAAGAGATCCTGGTATTCTTGTTTTCGTATTCCTGAAATAATCATTAAAAGTTTTTTTTTTCACATAAATTATGACTGTGGGTTTTGTGCAGGCATGGAAATGACCTCGGATGTGATGCAGCGTTGCAACGCAAATTTCTGCTGGCCGGTCACGATCAATCGAACGTTCAGCGCGCAACTTGTTGGATGCACCGTGGATGACGGTAGCAATACGGATACGGTGATGTGGGAAGAGGTTTTGGCCCTCATCACACAAGACGTACGCCAAATGCAAGGTTCGGATTTTTTTTCGAAAAAATTACTGCTTGAAAAAAAGTTGGAATTGCTGTTATGTTTTGACTGTGATTAGCATGGACTACTCGAATTGTCAGTGCGAGATTCAGCATGAGTGGTATGCAGTTTGCCCCGGAATCATCGACTTTTTTCTTCCTAGAACAAAGATTTTTTTGAAAAACACCTGTATGAGTCGGGATGGATTTTTGAATTCCTTATCATCGATATTTCGGGATCCTTGAGACCATAATTTGTCAATCGTTGCCTTACCAGCGACCCTTGTGAGCAATGCTCAGCAGAAAGGGAATTTGTTAGTTTTTATGAAAATCACTTTTGTGTATTTTTTTGATATGCTTTGTCCTCACTGTGTTGATTTTCCTAGTTTTTGGTGGCTTTCCTTCGGTGTTTATGCCACTTTTGGCCCAGCTTTGTCCGTCCGCTCTTTCTGTTCAGTTTTTTTCGTTCGCTGCATCAGTACTGTGTTTTCAGATATCATTTATTCGCATGGTTTGGCAGCCGACGAGCAACTGCTCAAGATATTCACATGTGACAGGAGACTGTTGATGCTGTGTTATGTATACAATATGCTGTATGAGTTGAAGAAGGTGCATCCCGTCGTTTTTACGTAAGTTCTTCCGCATTGCTATCACATTTCATCTCCCTCTCCATCAGCGTTTTTATGCGTTTTTCGTGTTCTTTTTATCTCTATGCAATGCAAAAACGCATACTGCGATGTTGCCTGGTTTGAGAGTGTGTATTTGTTTGTGCGTATATATCCACATTTTCCAATTTCCAAGTCCGGAGAAGCTATGAAGTAGGAATTTGACAATTTGGAGGAATTTGGCCATTATAAGATTTGCTCCAAGGCGTAAAATAGACATTGTTACCCTTCCTACTTCTCATATATGAATAATGACGAGAAAACGATACTAGATAAGCCTAAAAAAGAAGCGTGAACTTATTGTGCATGAAGCGCCCCTACTCTAGAAAGCTGAAATTTTTGGGGAACGTTCCCCGTCCAAGTGGGTATTGGTGAGCTCAAACCTAACTGCAATATACCAAGTTCGTCTTAGTACGGCGAGAAAACGATCCGGACCAGTAACTAATAAAATACAGCACAACCCGGCACGATATGGTCCGGCCACACAGCATGTGGAGTTTAACATTAACAGGCCGGATGCAGTGTGCGGCTTAGTGTACGTGAAAGCAACTTTCACTTGTCCTAAATCTCACTTAAGAAAAACATGGAATTCAGAGCTGAGACCTTGTAATTCGAAAACCAGACCAGCTTGAAAGCTGAAATTTTGAGGGAGAGGTACAAGACTCTGTGCAAGTAAATATACCTAAATAAAAATTTCACGTGCGAATACATCGGAATTGAGGTAGACAATTTTGTGACTGGTTATGTAAAAAACTCATGCGCGCCGCAAATTACTTGATTTTCCGCGTGATTCCAAAAAAAAAATATTTAAAAAAAAGGAGAAAGTTAGTTGTTGAAGCGATCTGTTTGCAATGTTGCTGGCAATCTTTGAAATCCTTTTTTAGCGTGCTGAGTACACTGAATGGAAAGGAGACGATGATAAGTATCAATAAATTTATAGACTTTTTCATTTATCTGTTCAGAAAAAATCTTCCTGACGATCAGCAATTTGGGTCGGTAAGCATTTTCGTCGTGTTAATTTAAGTTGCATTCAAAATAATTATGTTTCGAGAATTTTCAGTGATTTTTATGCGTTTTGGCCGGCAGCAAAATACATATTGTGACCACCCTGTCTGTTTTTGTATGTTTGTTTTTGTGTGTGTTCGTCTGTCTGGGTATTTTTACTCGCAAACCACGCAAGCTTTGATGCTAGAATTTTGCCAGTGGGTTTCCTGCCAAGTTGGACCCCAAGAACGTAATATTAATTGCCACACACGTTTACGTCTCACATACGGACGCGTGAAAGTTTTGACGGGAAAATTGCTAACTCACTAACGAGAAAAAGCTAGTGAGATGGAACTTCAGGGGAATGTTCCTTACTCACGTACGACCAAAAGTTTTCAAGTCAGCTCTTTAGAACCGCCGGGTACACACGTACGGGCACGTGAAAATTTTGGTTGGATAACTGCTCGGGGACGAGAAAAGCTAGAAAGCTGAAACTTTATGAGAACGTTCTTTACTCATGTGCGAGTAAAAGATTTCAAATTCAGTTCTTCTGGTGGGGCCTTTTTCGAGCACCAGCAAATTTCCATTTGCCGGGCTACTGAAGCCGACATCTACAAATAACATGCCACGCAGCTGCACAATTAACTTTCTGAACTTCGAGTGCCAGTATGTCACAGATTCTAGCTATTGTGGTTTCTTGCGATCTTGCTACAGCACGAAACAGTGCGAAATCGACTCGCTTAGTGCGTTCCAGCCTGAGTTCAAATTTTCCTCCGAAGAATTTTGCATGCTTAGAAAAACATTTTTAAATTTGTTTGTTTTCTTCTATTGATGAAGCCAAATATGCCATCAGCCTGCTTCTAAACATCTTCGAAAGAGGAACTGCCGTCAACCTGACCGTTGGATGGTTGTTTTTGGTACTTGTTATCGTTCAGGTACTTCCGAGCGCCTTCGTCTCCCGTAAAAAGGGCTACTAGAGAGAGCTTTTGATGTTTTGATTATTTGAATTTGCTCAGTTCATTTTTCAAGAGCATAAATTATTCTTTTCTTTCACTCTGTGCTTTCGTACCGGTCAATAAGTCGTCGACTTTATTTCTCTGTTCTTCTCTATTTGCGTAATATTTCTCAATTTTGTAGTTCGTAAAGTTAAATTGTTGTTGTTGTTGAGATGGTGGGCATTGTGAATGATATGCTGTTCAATGTGCAAGTGATGCCACTTGATCGCTATCTTCTTGCGCTGATGCTTCATCCAACCGACGATGGTGCCACCGAAATCTCCATGCTTATCATTCACACACTCGTACGTTTCCTTTACATTTATTCAAAAACAAAGAAAAATCACTTTTGTTCGTAAATAGATAATATTTGGATAGTTCGAAATTTCCAGTTTTTGAGAGCCTCTGGGACTTCACTTTTTCCATTCTTTCCCAAAGCAAAGGAGGATCTACATTGTTTTAGGCGCTATTAGAACCACTGTCTTATTAAAAGATGTCCAATTTGCGTGCCTAAAATTACCGATTTTTGTGCATTTTGGAGTTTGTAAAGAGTTATCGACTGACTGCGTCTAAATTTTGTTTTAGAGTTTTAAAAAATTTATTGGGTACTATTTTCTCCAGCTACAGTTTGTTTATTGCCCTGGTTTACAGAACTGAATTGATACTGTTTTAGTTGGGCTCATATCCTGATTTGCATAATCGAATTGCTGCACTGGCACACGTTATACCGTCGAACAAAATTGTCAATACAAGTGCTTCTTTCTTCAATAAAATGTCTGAATATTATTCTGTAAGTGGCCTTTTTTGAAACAGAAAATATTTTTACCTTTTTATTTTGAGTAAATTTTATTTATTTTTTTTTGTTTTAGATGTCTTTTCGGCGTTTGGAACGAAGTAGTTTTGCTTATCACCGTACTGGAAGTAAAGTAATGATGCCCAGTACACCATCTCGAAATTGCTAAAGCCTTATCGAGTACTTTTCTGAGGAACGTCGTTGAGTTACTAACGCCTTCCAGCACTGGCATGCGGGTTGGTAGCATTCTGAGCACCGGGTGATGTTGTTTTGGTTAAAAAAAGTCGCATATTCATCTAATTATTTAGCTAGAAACCAAATTCAGGGATTACAACTTCTCGAAGAATTCCAAAATGTGGAGTTGCGCGGATACGCCTAGCTCAAAATAGATGAAAATCGAAATTTTTTCATGCTCATCAATGCCAAAAATGAGGATTACAGCAGCGGAATAATAGCTCTTTAAAGCATTATTGCGAAGCGATAAACTAATCCGAAACAGAACAAATCCATTAATCGATGTTTTCCAGCAATTCCCGGAATTAACACCTCGAGAAGTGGAGGTGAAAATAAGGAGGGAAATGCAAATGGAAATGGGAATG